TGTTTCTAAATCTTTGTTGTCCTTAAATTTGGTTGTGCGAGGAGGTACAGTGTTTCCACCTATGCCTCCATCTTGGCCGGACCCAAATTTATTTAATTTTAGAGAGAAGGGAAGGGAGGGAGGGAGGGAGAGAGGGAGAGAAACATTAATGTGTGGTTGCCTCTTGCGCGCCCCCTCCTGGGGACCTGGCGTGTGCCCTGACTGGGAATGGAACCGGAGACCCTTTGCTTCACACTCCGGTGTTCAATCCACTGAGCCACACCAGCCAGGGCTGGAACCTGATTTTAAATTGTAATCTCCTTAAGGACAGGAGCCATTTCAACTCAAATCGGTAAAGTAATTTTGAGTAAATGAGTTGGTCAGTATGAAATCTCCTCTCAGGCATCTTTTGTTAACTTTGTATTTGTCTAATGGGCGATTATTCACACACACTTGGTCATTTGTGTCTGTGATAGTAAGTGATATCTCACTGAAAAGTGTAAAACATAAATGAGACACGCTCCTGCCCTCAAGAATATTACCGTGTGGTTGAGCAAGTCGGGCAGGGCTCTACTACCTGCAGTGGAAGGCGAGATGGTCAGAATGACGGATTTGGTACGCAGCGTGGCACAGGGGCGCTTGGCTTTGACACCAGCCCCCCCTGCGGCCAGCTTCCTGAACGTGGCCAGTCGCTCCACCTCCGTGAGATCAGGTCTGCGACCCCACTCAAGTTTCCTGCTCTGTGATGCGAGAGTCACCGGCCTGCCAGGACCGAGGTGAGGACGTGGTGGGCCCTCCACTTAGTGGCCGCAGCTGTCAGCCCACCTCACAGTCATTCCCGGTAACTCAGGTAACGCGGCCAGTATAACATCTCCCCGCCACGGCGGCCCACAGCTTCGAGGGGACCTTCCTTTATTGGTCCCATCAGTCTCCACAGCTTCCCTTTGCTGGGCCGAGAATAAAATCTCAGTCCCGGGTTTTCTCAGCCATGTTAGGTTTAAGCTCAGTCTCTTCACCATCTCTGCCTCCCAGCTCAGGAGGTGCTTCCCGCGGTGGCCGGCCTCTGCGGATGGGCTGGCCAAGCTGACCGCCAAGGGGCCTGGCGGCGTCACCCTCCACTCTGCCCACCCCCCGGGGACTCCCAGGCTCCGGCCGTCTGTTGTGACATTGGAAGACGGGGTCATGTTTTAGCATGGTAGGAGCTGACTGCGCTCAAGATTTAAAACAGATGGTAGGCATTTTTCATTCATTTTAGGGGAATAGTATCGGGGCCTGCGGAGCGTCTAGCCGAGGGCACGCTCGCTGCCTGGGACACTTTGCCGATCCGAGTCTCCAGTACACACACACAGGTCATTTCATCATTGGCTCTTTTTAGCTTAAAAGTTCAAACTAGTTAGAGTTTTAAATTTAACTTTTTTTTCTATAAAAATTCTCACGTAGGAATCCAGACATTAAAATAGACTCGCCCATTATAACAGGGGCTTGTCATTTTTGTGTTTTTCTTGCAGAGCTTCCCACCCTGTGTGCCCCGAGCCCTGGCTCCTGGGGGTGGGCATGGGTGTCTGCAATAAGAAGGGGTCGACACGTTTTTACATTTGTGTTACATGCAAGACACTTAGCTACAATCAGTTTGGGCAGCAACTCCTGTCTCTCTCCTCACGCGTGTCTCCCTCACCCACCCACCACGTGCACAGGGGGATGTTGAAGTGGTAAGAAGTCAGGCAGGAGAGCAACAGGTGGAGGCAGTTTAGCAAACGTGTCTGGCCACAGAATCTTCTCGGAGGAATTGCCATTAGGCAAACCTACTGCGGAACAGCCTACGGATATAATCCAGGCTACCCCGGGTCTGTGGGTCCTCCCTCCAGGTGCAGGGTCCTTACCGCACAGCCCGGGAAGGCAGACGCCCACGTCACCCAGGAGGCTGGAGCCCCACTCAGGAGCACCACACCTCCTAAAGACTTTTGCAGAAATCCTTCTGATGAAATTGGCTGCGCTCCTAACAGTTGCCCTGTGTTCTGATGTTTCACAGGTGATCCAAGAGCCAGAGAGCACAGCTGGGGCGGATGGCGGGCCACGTGGGGACTTGGTGGGCTGGGGCAAGCAGGCGGCCTCCACTGAGACCCACCTGAGGTGGGTCGTGGTATTGAGGGGCTTGTGTGCAAGTAACCCTCATTTTACTTAATAACAGCCTCAAAGCCATTCGCAACTTTTATTATGTTACAGTTGTTCTGTTTTATTATTGTCATTGATCTCTTACTGTACCTGAGAAATGAAACTTTATAATAAGGCCTCAACCCGATCGGTAACCCGACCGGTCCAGGTGCTCTCTGCAGTTTCAGGCACCCACTGGGGGGTCTTGAGGACGATGGAGTTTATGTAAATAGAGGGTTTAAAAACTTCAGGTGTAGTACTTGTAATGCAACGAACTCAATAAGGGCTCTTGTTTCTATGTAGTTATTCTTCTATGTAGCAGGGTTCTATGAAGTTATGACGACACGTCTCTAAAATCCAAACTCTGGAGAGTTGATTTGAATGTGGTCCTCATGTTCACGTAATACTGCGTCCTTTGAGCACCACCGTAAAAACAAGGGTCATCCCTTCCAAAAGGCTACTTCCCGGGCAGATGCTCAGTGCTGGGTCTGCAGGGGGAGGTGGGTGGTTGGTTCCATTTCCTTCTCCCATCTGCAGAGAGGAAGGGAGCAGACCAGGAAGGAGGCTGGGGGCCAGGGAAGGGAGGAGCAGCAGGACCTGGGGGACGGAGCAGGGGCACTCAGGATCCTATCAACCACAGCGTTTTTGACTGCTCTCTCCTTGGGGTGGTTGTGAATGATGGGGCTTGTTTCCCATGGGGCTTTATCTGGGCCTGACACGCAGGCTGCATCGTTTTATCGAGGTTCCAAGTGCTCTGTCGGACCAGGAGGTTTCTCAGGAATATGCACACAGTGTGAACTTGCACCCACAGCCCATGTGAAGGCAGGCCTGTGCTCACAAACTTTCAAGGATGCTTTTTCTGCATCCGGAGCCAGGCTGACCCCGAGCAGCTTTCTCACCGGCTGCTGGTCATTTCTTTCCTGCACCCTTTCCCCTGGGCATGGCCTCTGGAGGTGGGCTTTCAGCCTTCGGGGCAGTTGCCTGGGGGTCGTTGCAGGTGGGCCCTAAGCCAGGATGGCTGGTGTTCTTATAAGGAGATACCAGGTTTCTCTGCCTCAAGGCTCACAGTAACTTAACAAATTTGTTTCATCTGTAGGTGTAGTTCCCTCACGTTGTGTGCAGATTTTTATTCTTTTAAAAAACTTTTATTTACTCATTTTTAGAGAGAGGTGAAGAGGAGGAGAGTGAGAGGGAGAGGACTGCCAATGTGTGGTTGCCTCTCGTGCGTCCTGTACCAGGGACTTGTACCAGGGACCTGGCCTGCAACCCAGGCCTGTGCCCTGATTGGGGATTGAACTGGCGACCCCTTGGTTCGCAGCCCACACTAAATCCTCTGAGCTACACCAGCCGGGGCTGGGTACAGGTTTTTAAAAAAGAAAACACGCCACTCACAGGCAGCTTATCAAAATTTCCTGGTTACGCAGTATTTAGAAATGGAGACAGAAAATGAAATTCTATAGCACGTTTAAGGTAACTTCCCACTCTGTTGACATGTTTTTTTGCCAGAAGAGGTGGCTGAATGAATTGTTCCACTAAGTGTTTTGGTTTTAATGTCATCTTCTCCCGCTTCTCCCCCTCCCCCTCCCACGCCCATCGGAAGCTGAGTGCAGTGTGGGGCTGACTGTAGTCTGGCCGAATTTATTTCGGAGCCTAACTCCCGCCACCTATGAGTGTGACTGTTTGGAAACAGCCTTTGATTCAGGTGATGAGTTTAAAACAAGGGTGTTGGGTGGGGCCCTCATGGTCTCTCTATAGGGAGAAAGACTGAGAAGGCAGCAGCCTGCACAGCTGAGGACAGAGGCCTGGGGAGAAGCCAGCTGGTCAGGCTCCTGACCTCGGACTTGCAGCCTCCGAATGGTGAGTCGATTTCTGTGAAGTCACCCACTCAGTGGCACTTTATTACAGCAGCCTGGACAAATTGAAGGGCCCACTTAATGCTGAGTCACAGCCACTTGGCAGACACCTCTGCGACTCGCAGGTGTTTTCTGTACCAGCACTGACAATGCTGACAAAGGGCCCCCGGGAGCAACCCTCCACTAGAGCTCACACAGAGCAGCCTGTCCACTCCTTTGCTGAGTGACCGCACGGGACTCCGAATGTTTCACCTCCTAGTTTTGTGTCTGTTACAGCGAACTTCCACCTGGAACAGACTGGTATCGGAGCTGGGGGAACGGATGTTTGTAGGCAGTTCCCAAACTTTCGCTGACCCACCCTGGTGTCTGGGGTAGGTCTGGCAATGCCCACTGCAACACATGCCCTGAGTGACTGAGCTGAAGGTCTCATGTGCCATGGTTTGGACTTGGTGTCTCACTCCTGGTTTGGGAGGGGGCGGGCACAATGATAATTCCTTTATTCTGAGCATCAGATGCAGGCCTCATGTCCTGAGGCGCCAGAATGAACAACGGACGTGCTTACTCACAGGAAGTGGGGTGGACCGTTGACCACAGCTCTTCCGCCACCTCGAGGAAGGACCTGTGGCTGATGGCCGTCTTCTATCACTTGCTGGCAAGTAAAGCTGTTCTTTGGTCCAAGGGAGAATGGAGCTGGCGACAAGCTTAGCCCTTGGGCTGCAACTGGCCATGTGAAGCCCCAGAAGCCCCTCCCCTCCAGGCCTTTCTGAATGGCTGGTCCCTGCTGCAGGGCTTCCTTATGCTCCTGGCAGAGCAGAGCCACGGCGCCCCCACCCCACCTGCACTCTCAGAAGCTGGTCAGTGCGCTGCAGTGGCAGCCACTAGTGTCTCCCTAGAGTGACACTGGGCTTCATCATGGCCTGCCTTCCTCACTGCTGCTTCTGCAGGAAATAAAACCCCCTACTTTGGGGGTCAGGTAGCATGAGAATAGGGGTCAGAAGGTAAAGATCTACACACACAATAATTTGTTGCTGAATTTATTAAAATGACTGCCAAATGCTGTACTACATTCCCGACTTGGAACTATGCAACTCATTCTGGGAGTGAGGTCTGGGCAGGAAGGCAGTGGCCCTGGTCCCTATGACAGGCCTCTGAGGACCTGGCCCGCCTTCCCTGGGCACTGGCTGTGATGGGGGCAGGCCGTGGGTTAACAGGCTCTGGGCCACGTCCCAGCCACCTCTGTGGACACTGGGGTAGGGCTGAGCCACCACAGCAGACACTGGCCACTGTCAGCAGCAGGGGACATGGGATTCTCACCCATCCTTTTCCTTCTACCAGCACAGAACCAAATCTAAGCTTCATGAGAACCCCCAGCCAACTCTACACAGGAGCCACGCACTGGAAACGAAAAGGCCGAACGGAGAAGGGCACGCCCACGGAGTTTCACAGTAAAACACCACTGAGTCCTCAGTCCTCTGGGGCAATTCTGTCAGCCTTTGGGGAAATAAAAACAGTAATTCCCACTTGTAAAAACACATGCAAGGCAAGCCACGTGGAACGGTCACACTAAAAATATGCCAGTGCCTAATTTTCCAGGTACTTTATTTTTAAAACAGGTCACAACACTGAGCTTCTGGCCCGTTAACACCAATGAACAAGCTACAAATGCTTGCTTGGCGGCTGAGGGGCACTCTTTAGTAGCGTTTGAAAACCGAGTAAAAATCTGTATAAAACAAGTAATCAAATAGTTTCCATAGGAACACAGATAAGTGTGACCCCCCAACTCCTAGCCTTCCATCATGCTCCATCTGTGCCACCCCACTTACAAAGACATTTCAGAACTAGCAATAATTAAGTTACGTGGTCCCTCCAACCCCGTATTTCAAGCTACCCTCGCAGTAACAGCTACATGAACGGCATCTACACATTAATACGAGCCGAAGCGCAGGCTGCTGGGTGGCGCTCCATCCCACTCTCCCAGGCGCAGGACACCCGCAGGGCGCTCCCGTCCTGCTCCTCCACGGCGGCCAGGATGTCGCGGTTCTGGACTTGCTGCATCAGTTGCCTGAGAGAGAGAAGTGGCACACTCAGAACCCCGACTGAGTCACCCATACTGGGCCGTCTCCGGGAACCTATGCCCAAGCCCATCCGTCCCCCACCCCCGGGTACTGGGCCCCGAGGAAGCGACGCAGTACTTCTAAGACGCAGTACTTCTAAGCAAGCACGGCTTCAGAGCCGTCTTTGCGGTTGTAAGGAAACCTAGGGACACGTGCGTCGTCTCAACACACAGAAATACCTCCCTCCACCAGCCTTTTCTGAAATACTATGCACCATGAAAAATCTCAACACTAATCGCTATTATTGGAGTGATTTTTTCCATCCATTTGTATTTCCCAAATTTTCTAGGGCACATATTCTTAATACGGGGAGTATAACTTACAAAAAAACCCGTATTTAACTCTAAACCAGACAATTTCTTTCAATTAGAGTAAAGCAAAAACAAGCAAAAATCCAAAACACCTATTTAAAAAAAAAACTCCAGAGTATGTTTATGAGAGCTGGGACAGTGAAACTGGGCAGGCGGAGGACAGCAGCAGGGATGAGAGCCCCTCCGGCTCGCTGAGAAGTCACCTGCATCAGAGACAGGTTCAGGGGTCAGCCAAGGAAGAGCTGCTGCCGCCCACCGTTCCCCGGGTTGCGAGCCTGAGAGGGAGGAGACCCTCCCTGAGAGGGAGGAGTGCAGGGAACGGCGAGGGCGTGCTCCAGGCAGGCAGGCTGCTGGGAAGGCATCTGTCCTTATCAGGCCCATACACTCGCGCTGCTACTAACCATGCTGGCCCTGGCATCACGTAGTAGACGGTCGGCCTCTGGAACCCATTGAAAGTGGAAGCAGCAGCAACGGTGTAAGCCCCCATGTTTTCAAAGAGCATCCAGTCCCCCACGTGCATCTCGGGCAGGGCGCAGCGCTCTACGATGCGGTCAAGGCCGTCGCACGTCGGCCCCCATATGCTGGATGAGTAATGCTTCTCATCGGGTTTGGGCCTCTACGTTGGAGAGAGAGACACACCCCGTCACGCCTGCTCTGACCGATCCTCTGATCTCTTACATACAGTGTAACAATTACCAGAAGGTACCTTTTGCAGAAGGGGCTTCACGTGCGCATGATCATAGAGAATGCAATTAAATGATCCATATACTCCGTCATTCACATAATACATAAAGGTCTTCTCACTCGACTCATCTTCATCTAGAAAGCAAATCAGTCTCAATCATCACCTCTCGTACCAGTTTCCAGTGGTATGTACAGTGACCCCACCCGACACCTACCGTCGGAGCCCGTTTGTTCCTTTAACATCAGTTTTTTGGCGATGATATTAACTGCAAGCGTGAATGCTGATGCAACATAGTATCTGCCTGGCTCCGCTATGAGTGTCACTCCTGAGTCGGGTGGGAAATACTTGTCCAGAGCTGGGTTGATGACACTGGTGATCTATGAGACAGACAAGCGCAGTTGGCCATCAGGGGGAACCACACAGAGAAACGGCACGGTGCTGTGACAGGACGGGACAGCAATGTGTGAGCCACTGCCAGCAGAAGGTCCCACCATTGAGCAACAGCAAAAAACCAAACACCTCCCTGAAAAACAGCCCAGGCAGCCCCATGGTGTCACCCAAGTCCCCTCTGGACATGCCACCTATCCTTTCTAAGATGCAATGGGTCCAGCTGCATCCAATAGGACAAAACAAATCCATTACCATTATCTGAGGTAGCCAAGTGCCTAAAATACTTTTATTTGGCAAAACACGTGAAACTAAGAAAGAAACTATTCTGTCAACCTCACGTAACTTTAACCTATAATGGCTTAACCACAGAAGTAACTCAACAGTGTTTCAATGAGAGGAAATACAAATTCTAACAAAGCACATTTGGTACAAAGATGCACAACAAGTCTTCCAATTCTGCCACTTTGAGCCAACACCGCCATCGGGGCTGGACCCTTGTTCACGCCGGCTTGCGGGGAACCGGCTGTGCTGGAAGCCATTCCGTTCAGAGCCTCAGACTGGCTGCAGCGCGGGCCGGGCGCCTGTCACTAAAGCCACGTTTCTCCGTGCAGTCGGTTGGTTCCCAAGATTTAGGGAAAACCAACCCGTATTTTAGTTTAGAGAACCAAAGAATATTAAACTCAATTCTAAACAGCACAAGTCTCTCAAAAGATCACACCACGACCTTTATTTTCATGTTGGTGCAGTCCCTACTGGTATCAACTAAAACACTCATGTCTGAAAGGACTCCACTAGGGGACAGGCTAAAACAGCGACTCTATGACAGTGTTGCTATGAATTACCTCTTCAAATTTAAGCTTTACATCTTCAGATCCAGGAAAACCACCACCAATATCCAGAAGATACATGTTGAAACCGACCTCAGCCTGGAGTCAAGAAAGTTAAGTTAATTCAACAGCCAGATGCATAAAAAGTTGTGAAAAATAAACACAGCAGGCGGGTCGAGGCCTCTGCAATGGTGACAGTGTCTCCAATAGGCTGGTCCTGGAATGGAGACAAGCTCCTGCCAGCCCTGCTGCACCCCCCCAGGGGGGGTTTCCTTATACTCACCCCCATGTCGAAGACACAGCGGGCATCGGAGATGGCCTGCACGAAGGTCTCAGGGTCGTTGCAGCCACTGCCCACGTGGAAGCTGGAGCGGTAAGAAGAATATACTATGTCCGATTACTTCTGAAGATAGTGAGTCACGGTGGAAAAGCGCTGTAAAATCCGCAGTCTAACATTACCTGGGCCTCCACGTCCACACCCAGACCTCACCTGACACCGATGACATCGACATTGAGCTCTTTTGCCCTCTCCAAGAGCAGCCTGCTGGTCTTGAGAGTGGCACCAAATTTAACACTGAGACGACACACTGCTTTGGAATCATCAGTGGCAATCCGCAAAACCAACCTAGAATTAGGAAGAGTGAATCGAGTTAAGTTCACAGGACACAAGGTCACAGATGCGGCTGAAACAGAGAACTCCTGTTTCAGTCCAACAGGGCTTCACTAATAATCAAGGGGGTCACACTGTCTCCTTAGTCTGCCTCTGGCCAGCACACAGGTAAGTCTGACCAATGGAAATTCAGTCTCTCTTGACAACACCCAGCTCGTGCCCGCCCGTGCCCGCCAGCGGAGTGGGACTCACTTGGCCTTTGGATGTGCCCTGGCCACTTTCATCAACTCGACTTCACTATCGAAAGTCATCATCCGGACTCCATTATTGGCAGCATATTTAATCTGAGACACTTGTTTACAAGGATTTGCATAGATGATCCTCTCTGGAGGTACGCCGAGACTCTGCACCAATTGTATTTCCGTCTGAAAAAGAGGTGTTACACTATACCTATGTAGCTAATAGGTGAAAGACACAGAGAAACACAGGAAGTTGTAGATCACGCCCCCTAGCACCTACTGCGTAAGAAACACAATCGAGGCCCGCCTGGTAGAGCCCGTGTTCTACTCACCTTGCTGGCACAATCGAACCCCGTCCCGATGGCAGCGAGGGTCTTTACTATGGTTCTGCTGTCATTGCACTTGACTGCATAAAAAGGGGTGACCCGAGGTAGAGCTTTCAACCACCTCAGATGTTTCTTCAGGATGTCTCCCAGGTCCGCAACGTAGAAGGCATCCTTATCGTCCTGCAGGCAGAGCAGTCACAGGGACTTAGACCAGCCCTGCACCGTCCAACCGCGCCTCCCTCCCCCCTCCCACTGTTCTCAACAGATCCTGCTCCTCTCATCCAGTCACAGCTACGGATTCACTGTGACTGCTGGGCGACCCACAGTCAGTCAACTCTGAATTCCCGAACAAGAGCCGCGGGTTCTGCTGCACTCCCTCAGACCCCACGGAGATTTCCCACTGAGCCGCCCGGCACTGTCAAAGTGGCCCTGCCAGCACAAACTCAACACACGTACGGAAGAAGAAACTTCATTGATTTTTTGGTCCAGGATGTCCTTGGCAGTAAAGCCTTCATCAAGGAAATGGCAGCCAAACTCTTCATCAGTAAAGCTGTTCATGATCTCTGGATGTTTGTCTGAGACTCCACAAACTGCAAACAAGGTAAAGAAATTCACTCAGAAGCCTTAGCAATACTTAGTAATTCTTAAAAAGATTAATGTATAACAACCAGGAATACTTACAAGGAAAACGAAGATGGAATCTAAAGGAATTATTGCCAGCTCTTCACAAAGGCAGCTCTCTGGGAATTCCAAGTCCCTCAGAAGATGGGCCTTCTCTGGCTGCAGCAGCGGCACTGTCCTGCTAACACAGATGTCCTCAGGGAAAAGGCACCAAATGGAGATGCCAGGCCCTCACCCGCCTGCCTGGGAAGCAGGGTGGCTCAGGCCCCACCCAGCTGGGTCTGTGGGTTTGGGAATCCTACTGGCACCTGGGTGCAAGTCACCTGACTCCTATCAACCTCTACTGCACCACCGGAGGACACCAAATTCAACACCTTCGATCTTTTTGAAAGCAGCACTCGAATTCCATTCATCTCAATGAGCACTTCAAATTAGAATTTTAGTAACTAATAACACATTGTGGAAATGTCAAGGGCTCTTAATTTACTGCGAGCTCTTAAGTCTCCTGAGATTTTTATGAGCTAATGTTATTTTCAGACTGACATGTAGTTTTAGAAACTGCACCTTCACATCAACACAATGTTCTATCCTTGCTCTATCTGGTCACAGGCCAGTGTCCTCGGACGACTGCTGCCCACACCAGAACAGCCTCTCTAGGACTCTCGACAGGTACTCAGACAGCTGCTTGGCTATGAATGATAGTCAAGTGAGAGTGATTTTGGCACACTTTACAAGTAACAAAAATAAGCAAGTGTAAATGACTCATGAATAAGCAAAAAGCTCATAACAATCAGAGGCAATGTCCTTGGCCTTGGTACAAAGTGACAGGGTGAATGTCAGTTATCTTAAACTCATTTAAATCACCCTGACCCCTGATGGGTGTGGCGTAGTTTTCCACTGTACAGCCCGCTTCAGTGCCCACGGACAGAGGCCAGGCCATGGTTCCGGGCCAGGGTGCTTTGGCATGGGGCACTGTGAGAGACCCAGGGGGGCGGGCCTGCCATAAATCCAAGCCCATGCATGGTAGAACTTGGTTCAAGACTCAACCAAATGGGACTTTTTGGCATTGTCAACCTCCTAAATCACCCTCAACCCCCCGGGGGAAGGCAATGGACCAAGGCCAGCAGATCCACTTTGTCCAGATAAATAACCCGCAGGAGGCTGAAGTGGTGACAGGCTGGATTAATTGGGGTCTTTGTTAAACATCCTTAAAGCAACGCTCAAGCTTAACTTTGGAAAGTTAATCTTTTAAATACATCACTATTAAGTGCTTTGCCGTATCTTTCTTTTTTTAATCCTCACCCCGAGGTCTTTTTTTTTCCTGCCTGAGAGCAAGAAAAAGAGGAAGAAGAGCGTGCGCTTGGATGGGGAACCAAGCCCCGAACCTTTGCCACAGGACGCCGCCCGGGTCGCCCGGGTCACCTGGGCCCGCCGGTCCGCGCTCTCTCTCTCCAGTCTCTGCGAGGCTGTATTTGAATAGCCGGCAACAGAGACGTCTCACCCCTACGGCGCTCTGCACAGGAAGTTCCTTAAAAGGGTCGATCGACTAGCACTACACAGCACTTTCCTGCTGTGAAGGTCTTTCGCCAGTCGGGTCACCGGACAAGACAGGGGCCGATTTAAACGGGAACTGAAAACATTTCTCAAGAGAACGAAATTCTGCCCGATTTCAGGGGTGAATCACGCCGACAATCCCTGCTCTTCCCGTCATTTCTAAGCGGGGCTGCCCCCCACACTTGCCCCAGTCATTCAGGATCCCCAGGCAACAGCAGTCTTTTCCGAACACCTCGGGGTGGGCTCTAACCCCGTCCCCTAAACTGGGTTCCCACGCCAGGCGTCTCTTAACCACTAGGCCACTCGAGGGCTCCTGATACAGGCAATCCCAAACCGGGGCGGGCCGAGCTTTTATTTGCACAGCCGCTGCAGGGCTCTCTTGGAGCCGGCGACTCCTGCGGGCTCCGTGTCGGGTCCTCGCTCTGCCCGCAGAGGGAGAAACCCCGACACAGACGTCGGGGACAGCGAGCCAGGACGGTAACCATAACCCTGTAACCGCGAGCGAGCGACCGGAGCCCCAGACCTGCACGGACTCGTCCCGCCTCTGCTGCACCTGCTACCTGGCTTGCCACGTGGGCTTTAAAAAAAAAGCAGCGGTTAAAGGAACCACCGGCTTTCCCCAACGGCTTCCGGCCGAGCCGCAGCCCCACGTCAGTGGTGCCGGGCAGGCGAGACGAGGGCCCCGGGGCCCGGGGCAGGGCGGGCGGCGCCGCGGGGAGGGCCAGGGGCCCACCCTCACCTTCCCGGGGAAAACCGGCGCCCCGAAGGCAGCGGCTCGCCAAGGTCAGGGGCTGGCGGCCGGCTCCGCGACCACGTGCCCCTCGCAGCGCCGGGCGCAGGTCTGTTCGCGGCCTCCGGCCCGGCGCGCCGGGACACGTGGTCGACCCCCTCCTGCCTCCCCACCGCTCGCTCGAGCCCCTCTTACCTCGCCGCGCACAGAGCCTCAAGCCGACCCCATGAAGATGCCGCCGAAGCTGCCGAGCGCGAGCGCCCCGTCAGCGCCCGCCCTGCCTCCGGCCCGCCGCCTCGCTCCCTCCCGCGGAGGACTGCCGGCCCGAGGTGGCACCGGAGCGCTGGGAGAGGGGAGGCGGCGGCGCAGGCCGAGGGGACTGACAAAGCCCGACGCGCCGCTGCTCCGCTACTTATAGCGCCGCGCGTGTCGTCATGGAGACGCACCAGCTCAAACCAGCCGCGATCGGTTCCGTCCGGGCGTCTTGCGAGGGAGGGGGCGGAGCGCAGCGGCGGCGGCGGCCAACCCGGACCCGGCGGACGGGCGGGGGGCGCGGGCAGCTTAACGTCAGCGCCTGAGAACACCGCCCACCGCCCCCGGCCTCGCGCCCCTCCAGCCTTGCGGCAGGTCCGCGCACGCGCATGGCGCCCCAGGCACCTCCCCCACCTCGGGCCTCCTACGGGCTGTCCAGCGGCGGGATCGCGCACGCGCACGCGCACGCAGCCCGTGCCTTAGCCCCAGCTTCAGCCCCGCGGGCGCTCGGCGCGAGTGGGCTGGTCCTTCGGCCTTGGGACCCGAACCGCTCCCGCAGAATTAATTGCAAACCTGGCCGCTGCACCCGGGACACGCAACACTGTTCTTCCACCTGGCATTACGTGCTGTGTGCCCTTGGGCAGAGAAAGAAATCGGGAGAGAGCGGGTCACGTGGACCCCGACACCTCCATTTCTGTAAAAGGGACCTGGAAATGGTTGTGGCGCTGCTCTACTCTACCAGGAGTAGAGCAAAGACGCTGACAGAGAGAGAGGGGTGCAGAGGGGCACCCCGCAAGTCACCTGTTCCCTGAACCCTGTACAACACAGTGGCGTCTCCCAACAGTGGATGCGCGAGGACCTACGTGCAGTTTTATTAAGCCAGGAGACTCGTTCAAGCGAGTTAGGGGACCACGGGGTAGGAGGGAAGGGATCCCAAACTACCAAGCCGCTCCACTGCTCTGTGACATATGGGTGCCCCTCATCAGTGACTAGACACCTTTCAGGGCAGCTGCGATTGGCACCTGGCACGTTTGAGAGTTACATACCAACACAACAACAAGGTCCACGAAGTGAATACATATGGCAACAGCCTGGAAGGAAATTGGTTGTCCCTAAGAGCGGAGCCAGTGCCTCCAGTGTTAGGACAAGAGTCTCCTGATCTGGGCCATTCTTACTAAATGTTATTCTTGGTAGATGTTAAAATGTAGCACAGTATTTTGCAGGCCAGCCTTAAATAGGACCAGTTTGACAGGGACCCAACTACAGAGAGAAATCAACATGTAGTTCAGGGAGGCAGAGCTTTGGCTGCAGACCCTTTGTTGGCTTTCTTTGCTGCCAGTAAATAAAACTGCCTGGTGACAACCCTGGCCCGTTTCTGAATAGGGCACCCCAGGTGGCAAACCCCTTGAGGTCGGTGACCTGACGTGGTTGAAGGATTGCGCCTCTCTGGGGTGGGCATTGCCCCACTGCTGGCCCCTGGGAGGGGCTGAAGAAATTTAGGGCTTTCTTCTCCTTCTCTTAAAGATGAAATCCAACAGACAATTATGTCCCACCCCAGGGTGTGGGTTGCAACCAACCTGAGGGCTAGGAGTAAGAGTTAGGGAACATGTAGAACTAGGTTTGGCCAAGCTGTGGGTGCTGGGGAGCCTGGAGGAGCTCAGGGCTGTAGCCGGGCCCTCGTCCCAACTTGCTGGGTGATTTTGAGTAAATTGCTTCCCTCCCTGGGCCTCAGAGGAGGCCAGAATAGCCCAAGGTGTTTACAGCTACGAAGCCTGTGTGTGAGGTTTTGAAAAACCTTCTTTGTGCTGGCCTTGCAGCATAGTGGGTGAAGAGTTGTTGAATGGATGAAGGAATGAATGAATGAATGATCTAACTTCCTGGAGGCCAAGAACCAGGGATTCTGGTGAAGGAGGGGGCAGTTATCTCCACCCTAATACACTTTAATTCCCCGGGGTTGGGGGAATGCGATTAACAAACCCCGCACGGGACGTCAGAGCCCTGGGTGCTCAGTGGGACTGCTCTGGCTCCCTGTGAGTACCTGGGATTTGTTCCCCCTGTGTGAGGAAAACATTTCATTCCAATAACACAGCGTTTTCCTTGCGCTCCGAAAGTCTCCCATGTCCAGTTCCACGGCCAAGAGGCTAGCACTGTCTGCACTGCCGCTTTCCACGGCTCATCAACCAGTGGCTGCACAGCAACACTTTCCCGCTATGTGGACTCCTCCCAGCAGAGGGTACCCGATATCTCAGCATGTGGTATCCTGGGAGCAGCCTGGCATGGAGAGGAGGACAGCTAGCCCCTGTCCCACCAGCGGCTTGCTGCTGTGTGACCTTGACTACCACCTAGACCTTCTGTGAGCCTATGCTTCTCCAGCCATCAGAGGAAGGGCTCAGGCCCGATCTAAGGTCCCTTTCAGCTTCATTCTGTGGTTATAGTTTAGATTTAGAAATATAAGCTGGGCCCTGGCTAGTGTAGCTCAGTGGATTGAGTGCGGGCTCTGAAGCAAAGGGTTGCCGGTTTGATTCCCAATCAGAGCACATGCCTGGGTTGCAGGCCAGGTTCCCTGTAGGGGATACATGAGAGGCAACCACACACTGATGTTTCTCTCCCACTCTTTCTCCTTCCCTTCCCCCGCCTCTAAAAATAAATGAATAAAATATTTAATAAATTAATTATTAATTATTTAAAAAAAGAAATATAAGCTGGAATGTAGAGTTCAGTTCCTGATTCAGGAACTGGGGGTCTGTCTGACCCCCCCAAACATTGTAAACTGCCTACATGCTGCGCTTTGCTCTGGGGAGGCCAGGCCATGCCCAGAGGACCCATCTGACCCAGATGGGGAAACAGAGGCAAGGGAAGGAGGCAGAGCTGCTCCCTCGCGTGCCAGCCCTGCTGCCTGCAGACAAACCACTGGAGAGGCCCTTGGCCTTGAGTCTGGGAGTAGCAGGGCCTGAGTCACTAAATCTGGTTAGCAAACTGGATTTGGGGTATAAACCTCTGGTGACTAAGCCTGGCCTGAAAATGCCCGGCGTTCATGCCTTTCTGCATATTTTCAGTAGACTTTATCCTCCCCCTTTACTGTATTTTCCTTAGTGAGACAGCAACAGTAGAAGGTGCGCCTAACACTAGAAGCCGCCTTTATGCGGAGATGAGGCTTTTGTGTTTGGGGCAGACACAGGAAGGGAAGCGAACGGAAACATCAAAGTGCACATCGGACATTGCCAATAAGATCCGCAGCCTTAGTCACCCCACCTAAGTTCTGGGACCAGCTCCAGTTTCTTTCCGCTACTCTCAGCACCCAGCTCGTGAGGAAGCTCTGGGCACCCCTCCCCTCTCTGGGTCTCAGGGTCCGCCAGTGAAATGCTCTCTGGCTTGATTGGACCGAGTTGAAAACTGAGGCTCTGGCAGTCTGACCTGCTAAGAGTCTCTCTCTGCCTTCCTTTACAGAGAGAGTGCTGTAAAAACACTCTGACAACCACATTTTCTGGCCCGAAAATGAGGACACACGTCTGGTAAAGGAGGCGTTTTTTGATTATTTACACAGAAGGGCTTATAAAGGTATATGGTGATTACAAATTTAAGGAGTCGTGTATACTGGATATCGTAAAGTGACAGAAATGATGACAACAAGCATTTACATATCCATATATTCAATACTGAAATGTTTGACTTTGAGAACTTTCTGGAAAATGGGTTTGTGTTCTGTCTGTGGTCATATTCTGCACCGAATTTTTTCCCCAGACGCGTAGTAAGAGTTCAATGTAGAATAAGGCTCATGGCGTCCAGCCCCTGGGGGACTTTGGGTGGTTAGGACCTACCCTAGGAGACTGGCGAACTCAGGACCCCCGGGTAAGGGCAACAGCCACGGAACGCTCTTGTCATATGTTGATATTCGACTAAAAATAGTGTTCTGATGCTCAGTCACTCACCCACACTCTAGCCTTGCCCTTGAATTGTTTTAGGTGTTTCTGAAAACGCCATCCACCCTCTGAAGTGGAAAGTGTGCCATCTTTGCCAATACCCAAATGACGAGCCCCAGGCACCAAGAGCTTCCGGGGAGGGCCTTCCCACCCTGAGCCACATGGGCGTCATCAGAGGAGTGGAGCATCTCCAGAAGTATCTGTTGAAGCCAAAGACACCTGTGTGTTAGTAGAAGTGCCAGGATGTTTACTTTACAAAGCACACTTGCATCACTGCCCCACCTTGCCCCCGCCCTGGTGCGGCTCCCCGGGAAGTTGCTGGGACGTGAGCCATCGGATGGCAGTGCGCCAGGGCCTCCTGGAGCCCAGCAGGGCCCTGCGGCAGGTCGGTGGCCACCTCGTACATTGCAGAGCAAAGGTCACCTCCATCCACAGGTGGAGAAGCCGTTTGTTTGACTGGCAGGTGATTTCAACCATGCATTCTCTCTCACAGCCTACCTTTCCACTGGACGGAGTCTCAGTGGGCGTGTGCTGAGCTGGCATTCAGACACGAAGCCCTGCTAACACGTGGGTCACCCCGAGGCCCCTCTGGCTGCCGCGGCAGCCTTCCTGACCAGTCTGCTCTGTAGGACCCCCACCTGCCAGCACGGCATGGGTCACACAGTCGGGGCAGCTTGGGGCTCGTCCCTTCTCTCCGCTCCCGCTCCCTCGGAAGTCAGGACCACGATTTGCTTGTCTTCATACCTCCAGTTTCTAGCCCTGTACCTGGCACATCCTGTATTGTTCAACTGAAATCAGTCCTGAAAAATCTGTGACTCGTGGTTGCTACTTGGCTAATTCCCTCATGGGGATTTCTCCCCATGTGCTCTCTAAAATTAAAGGGACAGGAGATTCTAAATAGACTCAATTTGGTCATTTGCTCACTCAACACATGTTTATCCCAAGAGTCACGTATGTGCAAAGGTTGTGCTGAATGAGCGTGAGCTCTCTCTGGCTGCCAGGAACTGATGAGGCCAATGCGTAATGAAAACTGCCTCTTTTGTTTTATTTTCTCCTAAGCTCCTGGTGACCGCCTCTGACTCAACATGTCGCAGCACCTCTGCTGGGTTTGCCACTGACCCATTTTTGCCAGAGCCCCACCCTCGTGGGTCCCCACCTTGGGGAAGCCCCAGATCAGTAAGAGTTAGGGAGTATCGTGCGGAGGGCCCTTGCACAACCTGGGCCTTCTGGAAGGCCCGTGCTCTGCCTGGGGTGGGGCGAGCTCCACATTCTTGCCGAGTCAGGACCGCGG